ATATTCACACTCCCTGTACACTTTCTTTTCTTATGCACATCTGTGTCCTTTCACTAATTACTCAATAGTAATTACTCAAAGGCACCTTTTTAGAGCAGGGTTTCTCCACCTGGGCACCATGGACATTTTGGTCTAGATAATTATTACTTGGGTGATAGGGGTATCCTGTGCATTGTAGGAAGTTTGCATCATCCCTGACCTCTGCCTACTAGATGCCAGGAATGCTCCCCTCCTCCATTGCGACAAACAACTTGGCTCCAAAAATTGCCCCATGTCCCACAGTGGGCAAAATCATCCCGGATAAGAAGCATTGATGTGCACGATGAGGGTTTTGCACTGAGAAGGTAAGTGTTCTGGTTATGATGGGTCATCTTTCTTAGTACATGGGAATTACTGGTGACTCAACTTTATTGTAATACATTTTTTTAGTTACATGAAAAGTGAGGATGGTATTATCTAACTCACAGGGCTGCTTTGAAGATGAAATCAGATAACCAAAGCAATGATATGCACTAGGGGTCCTACACAGGGACTGGACCGTAGCAGTGTCTGATAAATATGAAATAGTCAAACAGATTAAAGGTGATACTCAAGTGTTACCTGCTTTGCATTAAAATAATCAATTTAAGATAGTCTTTATAAGTTGAAAAAATGTCCCAGAAAGACAGCTTTCAGTACCACCATGTTGACATTTTGTTTACAACTTGGAGACAGGCTCTCAAATTTATCTCTTATTCTAAATAGGAAGAACATACATTGCAACCAGAAGTGAAAAATATGCTCAAAGTGAAATTATAAAAGAAAGGCTATTAGGAAAAAAAAGAATATGCTCACTGTAACTAGTGGAAGAAGAATATAAATTCGAGATATTGGCCACTCATTACTTTATTTTACCTGCCCTGATGTTTTAATACTTTGTATTAAATTAATGAGTATGTATTACTCAGTATTTGGAAATGAGCTATATATTAACATGGAAGAGGGGTGTTTTACTGATGATTCATCTTTCTTATGGATTTATTTCCATTTGTTTTTCCATATTGAAAATAGACTTTTCAATCTCTTAAGGCCAGAATTCATACATAGGGATTTCTCTTTATCTTTTATGTAATGTTGCTTGCAAAATATCTGACTCCCTTTTTTAAATTTATTTTTTATTTTTTTATTCCCTTTTTTTCCCTTTTTTATTTTTTGAAGATTTATTTGTTATTTTAGAAAGAGAGAGAGAAAGTATGCAAGTGGGGGGAGGGGAGCAGAGGTACAGGTAGAGAGAATCTCAAGCAGACTCCATGCTGAGCATGGAGCCCAACACAGGGCTTGATCCTAGGGCCCAGAGACCAGGACCTGCACTGAAATCAAGAGTTGGATGCTTAACCAACTGAGCCACCCAAAAGCCCCATTTGTTTTCTTTTTAAAATGATCAAATTGTGTGTCATGCTTTTATGAGAATTGATCACAAGAATTTTCATATTGTATTTGCAATTTGAAATTTGATGGAAGATTTTTTTAAAAAAATGTATTTATATATTCATAAGAGGCACAGAGAGAGAGAAGCAGAGACATAGGTAAGGCAGAGGGAGAAGCAGGCTTCTTGCAGGGAGCTCAATGCATGGCTCGATCTCAGTACCCCAGGGCCACGCCCTGAGCTGAAGGCGGACGCTCAACCACTGAGCCACCCAGGCGACCCTAAGATTTAAAATGGGGTGGATTTCAAGAGCAGGACAACAACATACAGTATGTGCCATTAACACCAGAAGGTGTTGTTTCAGAAAGTAAGTAGCACTTTACTAGTCTTTGTTCAATGATTCTAATCAGAATAAATAAATAAATAAATAAATAAAGATACATTCATTTTTTTCCCAAAAGCTTAAAGAGTAACAAAATAAAAAACATGTATATCTGGTAGTAGTCAACATAATAAAAACAGTGTTAGGAAAGCACACAATTTTTTTTTTGCCAAATGAAATAAACTAAAGAATTTGAAACAATAAAATTATCTCCACTTTCCTTAGAACCTAGAAAGCAATTCTGAAACTATAGCTTCAACTTGATTGCATAAAGTATCTCAAAATTTAATGCTGACAAAGGAACCTGGCTGGCTCAGTCAGTGGGGCAGGGGGACTCTTAATCTCAGGGCTCTGGATTTTAGCCCTACACGGAGTGAAGAGGTTACTTTAAAATAAAATCTTTACATACATAAAAAAACAAGTTAATAGAAGAAGAAAATGTTTTAGGAAATTAGTAATGTAAAGAAAAATATGTTTGAGCACCGATAAGGCCAAGTTAAGTATGGACGTTCTTGATTTCAAAATACTTGTAATCAAAGTTATCATCAATCATATTTTAGGATTCTGATAAAGAAAAGTGGTTTGTTTTTAAAGTCTCACCAATATGAGAATATGATTTAAGAACTCTAAATATAAGAAGTTACTTATTTCCCAGGCACTCCATGGCAAATGCAATCTACTTTCAAAGTGAATTTGCACAACGACTGAAAAAAATAACTTCATGTATGAAGGGCTTCTAGTATTGTGAAGACCATCATATCCAATTGGACCATCTATTCCTTTTCTAAAATGCAAGCGTGAAGCAATATAAAGCCTACCATCTTATTTTGGGCTTTAACTTTGCCAAGAAAAGACAGAAATTTAACAGGTAAGTAGACAGACACATGGGAAAGATTCAGATACTTGCTAGCTTTTATTTGAATGCATCAGAAGCTACTCAATTGCTCACTAGTGTGGCTCTTTCTATACTAGACTTGTGTTTGTAGCCACTCTGTAGAATTTTACCTTCTGATGTTTGTCCACATGACTCTAGCAAAGTTTCGAGATAAAGCACCTCTGCGAGGAGATTTTAGACCAGAACATCTCCTCAACATGGTAGGGAAAAAATTAAAGATGAAAATACTGGGGAAGAGGAAGGAAGTAAATGGTCCTGGCCTTAATAAAATCAAGATGAGCTGCTAAGCAAAATATTAGCTTTCTTGGCCCTTTGGCTTTGTCCAAATCCTTTAAAAATGATGCCCATCTCTCTGCTTTGGCAGAACACATCCGATATAGTCTCTGATTTGACGAATTACCATTTTCATTTCTCATTATTTCATGTGTGTACTTCACTGGCCAAGTAACTTTCTAGCTTTGGTATTTCATCTGCTTGTGTCTAAGAGTAAAATGCATTGGAATTATACATGCCACAGATCCCACAAATATTTATGGAAGTGTAGTGGGGAGTCCACACATGGAGGATACTGAAAGACTGTATGTTTTGTTCTAGAATATTCATTCTCAAGAGTTGGCGAGGGGAATGATAGGAATAAGGAAAAGTCTGATGCATTAGTAAGTATCTGTGACAAATGTGTAGTTTTGGAACCATTTGATGTATTAATATAAAATAAGACAAATATTCGCAATGAACTTAGTATTACCAAGCATCCATATTGTGTCTGCCCTATGATAAACACAGGATATATTTATCTTTTATATTCGATTTTAAAAATTAATTCAAAGCAACTGTATGTTAGTTTTAGGGAACCTCTCTGATTTAAAGAGACATCATGGCAAATGAAAAAAGTCATAGAAAATGCAAAGTGAAGTATGCTGAACCCAACGTTCATTTCAGACACTATAAATTTCTCTCTCAATAGTTGTTCCATATGGTGGCAAAATGGCAGATTTTATAGAAATTTTAATCTTCCCTGTCCAGAACCCAGAGATTCAGGGATATAAGGAATTTAATTTTTTAATTTTTTATTTTTTTGATATAAGGAATTTAGAAAAAGAATGGTTTTATACTATTTGAAAAACTTTGCCTGTACTAATGTAAAACTCTACAACATAGGAAGCATCACCACCTGAATCCTTTCAAAGAAATTCCTAAAATGGCATGAAAAGAATCTGTGGCCTTATTCCAGCTTTATTCACCAGAGAGAATTCTACGCAAGACCAAGCCACCCTGATCCCCAAAGGAAATGCACGAGCATTTCATTAATAATCACTGTCCTTGTCCCGAATTCCTAGGGATACTCAGTGCATGTCTGTGCACGGGTGCGCGTGCGCACATGCATGCCCTCTCTATTTTTTTCTCCATTTACCCCCAAAATAAACCTTTAGGAGAAAGCTTAAAATATCAACTATTTTCTTAAATGAAAGATAATGCTGTGCAGGCACATTATTTGGGCAAATTAGGTCCACAAACACACTTTAGCTTCATGGATGAAAATAATTGAGGTATGTAATAAAGGGAGCTGTACGCAGGCATTAATTCAACCCCTAGGAAACCACATTTAGAACCTCTCTACCGATCTCCATTACCTGACTGTCAAACGCACATTTTTGTTATGTTCTTAATGCACGCAGCTCCTTGATCTTTTTAATAATGTAAGTGGTGAAATGCTGCAGTTCTATGTGGAAGACAGCATGAAAGAAAAGCATGAAAGAATAGTTCATTACGCCATGTGTGAGGGGTGCTGACACAGATCCAAATTTCTACTCAGCATCAAAGCAGCTTACATTTATTGATTTCTCTTAAATCTCTGATTAAAATAGCATCACTATCTCTCAAAGGGTATCTTTTGACAAAAACATTTTGATGACAGCTTATCCTCTTCCCTTCCAATGGGAAGTGCAACATCTATAGTTACAGGGTTCTTAAGGTCTGAAGGAAAGATTTCGGTGGCTGAAACAGTGGTCTATAAAGTCACTCTACAGTCATTATGAGAAAAAAATGTCTCCACCACAGCTCAGATAAATAACTGAATTTACATAATTTACTGGTGAAAAGAAAAGCCTATATATCTGAGCTGCAGAAGAAAAGATCCTAGCTATAACCATCACCCGCCCCCCACCCAACAGACACACGCCCCTAATTCTGTTATTCTGCCTAAAAACTTACCAATATCATCGTATTTTGCTGGGTGAATCATGCCACTATGAAGGAGTGACATTCAATAAACTTTAGTGGCTGTGCCATAAAATTAATGTTGTAATAATGTCACTGACCAATTATGAAATCTGTTTGCTCCTGATGGTAGTGTGAGACCAAGACGTGGATTAGGCAGCGGTTTGTGGGACAGGTCGACACTTCTGGCTTCTCAGTCACTGCCTGGAGGAGCAGGAAGGCAGAAGATTTGGCCAGAGGCTTGATGAGGCGATGCCTTGATATCTTCAACAACATCTTTTATGCCCTTTCTCCCACTTGCTCCTAAAACTCACTGCCTCAAGTGACTTGATCTTTCAACAAAACCTCAATTCAGGTTATTTATCCAAGCAAAGCATAAATGATCAGTACCCATTATCTTTTTTACTATTGAAGAGGCATAAGCAGGAATTGAATAGACATTTTTCTATTTATAAACAATCTGGCTGTTGGGTGGGTAATGAACTGAATGGAGACTAGAACAGAAAGCAAGAAGGTGATTTGGGGGACTATTGTAGAATGCTGGGGAGACAAGGAAGTGATGGATGTCACTCTCATTCACTTGCATTGAATGAAGATTTTGAAGCAGTGGTTCTAAATCCTCAGCTACACCTATGAATCATCTGAAGAGCTTTTTAAAAATCCCAAAGCCCCAGCTCCTCTCAGAGATTTGGACTTAATTTCCTGGGTACAACCTGGACACCAGCATCTTCTTACCCTGAGGGTTGACAACCACTGAGTCCAGGTCAACATGGAAAAACTGGATGGGGTAGACAGGGAGTGGTTAAAAAGAGGGAATTCTCTTGTACGGCAACTAGATTTGTTAAGTGAGTAACTGGCTAAACGGTAGTACCACAGAGGAAGACTGGGAACCCAGATTTTTATGTGAACTCTCCTGGTTTTATGATTTGATAATTTTTATAAACACATATCAATTTTGTGTAGGCCACAAAACAAAACAAAGCCTGATAAAAATAAACAAAGATAGATCTGATACAGAGGTGGCCAGTTGCAAATTCTGTTTAAATCAGGGAGTTAAACTCTAGTTATGGATTTCAGACTCACAGAACTTAGGAGTGAGATTCTTTGGAGACTCTTAAAAACACAATCATTAATTACCTGATCCTTCATTAAGAATAAAGGTGACCTGGTGTATTTGGTACATTGTAATTTTGAATTAATTTATTTTCTCCCTCTCTGTCTTCCAAGTTAAGTGACAACACTCTTCCTAAGGAAACAAAAAAATTCTTCCAAGGTAATGGGTTAAGTGGTAAGGCCAAGTCCTCATATCTGGTTAACACTCAGGTCTGTGCTACTTCCAAATGTGGTTTTCAGCACCTTTTTTTGAGGGGAGGAAGGGAGTCGTTAAAGAGTTTTAGCTTTGAAAACACAGTTATTACAGATGGGACAGTTTTGTAAATTCGTAAGAGCATCTCAACAAGCCTACTGTATTCCTAGTAATATTTTAAAAGTTGAATACCAAAAAGCAATGAATCTTGTAATCAAGTGTCCCTTAGTGATAACATACCACACACACCCACAAAGTAGTCATCCAAGTAATCTGAATTAGATCAAATCAAGAGTTACAGGGCTCATGTCTTATAACAATCTAATTTTAGAGCATTTCCTTCAAGAAAATTCATTATATAATAAAACTGTCAAATACTGTACATTTTGTTTTAAGCCATATTTCTATCATGATATACACCAAAGGAGTAATTGTCACAAACTTCAGAGATCAAGGGATCATTAATTAATTCACATGCATTGTTATTCAGTTCATAATTTGGCATTTAGTTTTGTCTAAGCCTGTATGAATTTTCAGGAAAAAAGAAGTTCATACCTGTCTGTTAGAACTTTGAACAACAGACATTGCTTTCACAAATATACCAGAGGATCGGTCATATTTCATATACTTGATTTCCACAGAGTTGTAGATAAATCTTGTTATTTTCAGAATCATATGAACATAAAATTTCCCCTCTTTCCTGGAATGGGTGTATTCTTAATGTGTATTTATCACATGAGAAAAAAATAAACAGGTCTTTAGGAGCCCTGTAAGTCATACTATAAACATATACTATTAAGCAATAAAGACAAAGTCATCTCTGACATGAATTTTACTCCTCAGAACAAACTGCATTCTCAGTGAGCAACAAGAATAACAGTAATGGTTTCTTTTGAATCATATTTATGATTCAAAACAATGGGTAAGCAAATGGACATTTTACATACCTATTCCAGGTAGGACCATCAAACCAATCCAATTTATCAAGGACTCTGCTGTGCGCTGAATTTCTCTTGTAGAAACAAAACAGATGCCATATCACCACAGAAAGCTGAAAATCAAACAAATAAAGAAGAGGTAAGTTAATCTAAGTCAAAATAAACTTTGAAGGAGGATACTTGGATCACTAAACCGTGAGAGAGCATTTTATTTATTTTTTTCCCATTTTACTGAGAAACAATTAACGTACATGACTGTATTAAGTGTAAGGTGTACAGCATAATGATTCAGCTTACACATATTGTGAAATGATTACTGCTATAAGTTTAGTTAGCGTCAATCATCTCATATAGATACCATAAAAACAAAGCAAAAAAGAAAAATAATTTCTTTCTCCTTGTGATGAGAACTAGGAAATTTGTGCCTTTTAAAAAAATATTTATTTATTCATGAGAGACACACAGAGAGAGGCAGAGACACAGGCAGAAGGAGAAGCAGGCTCCCCGAAGGGAGTCTGATGTAGGACTCGATCCCAGGACCCCGGGATCATGCCCTGAGTAGAAAGCAGATGCTCCACCACTGAGCCACCCAGGGGTCCCAAGTTTGTACATTTTGATCACCCTTCTCCTATTCCTCCGGAGATGGCATTTTAATTAAATGAGAAATTTTACAAGTAGAGATTTATGCCAGCATTTTCCAGATATTCATCAAGAAACTCTTATCTTCTACAATACCTGTTCATATCCTATCAGGATGAATGAGTGATCCACAGCAGCTACTGAGATCTACTTACAAAATGAGTTTGTGAAGCCTACCTTTCCACACAAACATCACATCTTGTGATCTCTGTCCTAGTCAGATGTCCTCAGTCTGAAATTTCCAACAATTGGGAGTGTTTTATTAGCTTTCCCTCTTACTATGTACACGTGATGCATATATATTTGTGTTATTTACAGAAAGCCAAGTATTGAGTTTCCTTCATTAGTTTTATAGCAAATAAGCAAAGAACCACTGAGTTAATACAATTTTTAAAGATTTATTTATTCATGAGAGACTCACAGAGAGAGGCAGAGTCACAGGCAGAGGGAGAAGCAGGCTCCATCCAGGACTCGATCCCAGAACCGCAGGACCCCTTCCCGAGCCAAAGGCAGACACCCAACCACTGACTCACCCAGGCATCCCCCTAATTAGTACAATTTATTTCATGGCAACAAGTATTTGACATTCATTCATCATTTTGATCAACATTTACTGAGCAAATAACATGAACCAGGCATTGAGTTGAGAACTGAGTAAGACCTGGTCCTGCCTTCAAACAGCTGGAGTCCGGTCAAATGGAAGAGCGCACTGGATACAGATCATCCCAATAGGGACAAGTAACTGCCCCACCATGGAACAGAGAGGGCACAGAGGTGGGCACTGCCAAGCAGGAGGTCTCTGAGTCCTGAGTGTTGAGTAGTAAGAAGCAGACAAAGGGACATGGGGGTGGAGGGGAGGACGAAGATATTCAAGCAGTATATTCAAATGCAGGAAGCTGTGAGGAAGAATGGCATGTTCTGAAAGCTGCCCTAAAGGGCGTACAATAGAGTGAGAAAAATAGAACCTACACAAACAAATGGCAGCATATCTTTTTACAGATTTTAATTACTGGAAATGAGCCTCAGTGTACTAACAAAAACCCCTACCCCAATAATTGTAGAGAATTTGAACCTTGTTCCGAGATCCTGTATGCATGGAATCTCACCCTGGCGTTGCAATCTCTCTGTAAGGCAGGATAGTGCGACTTGACCCCGCACCATGCACTAGGGGAGATCGTAGTTGAGGGGCTTGCCCAAACCAAAAAGTGAGTCGTGTAGACCAAGGCTGAAGCCGGGGTCCAGTCCTCCTTTGGCCACAGGGAGAGGCTCACAAGGCCAGGATTCACAAGGAAGAGCATGGAAGATGATGAACACGGCGTGGCCATTCTGGTCACCCTCCCATTTCACATCAAGAGCTTTTCCTATTGTATGCTACAGAGTGGGCTCTGGGCACAACGACACTGTCTCTGGTGTCACCACTTCTGCTCCCAGCTTCATGAATGCGAGTGTGGGGCAGAAACACAAATTTGGGATTCTAGGTGCACGTTGCTTCATCTTGTCAGTTTGGATATTTTCCTTTCCTTTCTTTTTTATTTTTAAGATTTTATTTATTTATTCATGAGAGAGAGAGAGGCAGAGACACAGGCAGAGGAAGAAGCAGCCTCCCTGTGGGGAGCCGGATACAGGATTCAAACCCAGGGCCCTAGGATCATCCCCTGAGCCAAAGTCAGACACTCGATCACTGAGCCACCCAGGCATCCCGAGTTTCGGTATTTTCGATGCCAGATGTCTCTACAGCCACACTGCAGGAGTGGTGGCTGCTGCATACTGCTGAGTCACAATGGAAACGTCAGGCATTTTGTCTATACCCGGCTGTGATCCTCCAATTCCTTCTGCGGACTTAATTGTTACAGAGGAGCCTCTCCCAGGCTTGGTGGGTTTTCACCTCAGAAATTGTCAGTACTTGAATAACTTTGCTGGTCCCATGTGTGGATGAAGGGCTTTGATGTTTTTAAGAAGTTAGAATTGTTGCATCTACTGAGATGGGAAAAGAGGCCAGCTCATTTGTAACATCTAAAAATGGGGAGAGTGGGCCTGGAGATGACGGAAAGTGGGTTTAGCAATGCAAAAATGAAGAAAGCTTGTATGTGACACATAAAGAGAAGGCTTATGTAAGAAATAAAAAATCAAAAGGAGCCCGTAGCATTCTCCAGACGATAAGAAATGCAGTTGCTGAGGCTGGAAAAGATTGCAAAAAACTTTTTCCCTTCTTCTCCCCCCTCCCCCATTTCTCTTTATAAAATCCCGAGTGAAACTACTTAAAATACATCTTAGTTCAATTTCTCATCATGAAGGTGAGAGACTGGAAAATCTTCTGGTAGTCCCCAAATTGCCTTGCCCTCATGGAAGAGGATAGAAATTTATATTTTCAATGCTTTCCAATTGACAAATTATATGCCTGTTAATAGGCTTTCTCATACCTTACAACGTATCAGGAATTATTATGGCTTTAAAGAAGAATATTTGCTTTGAAAGACAGTTCCTGTTACAAAGGCCCTCAAGATGGAAACTAATTCCAGGCAACCACTAAGCAATAATGCCTGGAAAACAGACACTAGATGTAAGACAGACAAAATTCAAACGACAGCATCACCCAGAATGCAGCATCTAGCAATTATATTATCTTTCGACTGCTTGACCAACTGTACTTGTGACTACAGAAGGAAGCTTGTTCGTGGCTGGGATGCAACAGATAGAAGGTTAAGCTAAAGTATTACCCAAAATCAACAGAAAGAGGCAAATAAATCAAAACATCTCTGAGAAACCTAATGGAAGAAAACTCGGACAAGAGACATTTAATAGACAAATTGGACCATACGCAAAATCCTAAGGTAAGTAATTTATGGAAAGACATTTATGTTGAATGTGTTACCAATTTGTTTGTGAGAACACTTAGTTAGTTCATGGGGTCCAACAGATTTGACCTCAGGGCTCTGCAATATAACTGAGCACTTGATGGCAAGATGGAGATCAGTTCTCTAGAAAATGTTGACAATGAGCCCCCCATGGATTATGACAAAGCAGGTTCTATGAAATTATGTACCAAGAGAACTTGAGTGAATAATCTGTGTGAGAAGTCAGAGGCCGGAGGGTTGGTAGAGAGATGAGGAAGGCAGAGACAGAGGGAAGAAGAAGTAACATTCCCCTGTGTGCCACTAACACATGAGGCACCAATCAATTCATTGAATCATTTTAACAACTTTAAGAAGCAGGCCTCACTGCCACTAGTTCATAAATGAAGAAATTATCATTATTTTTTTTTTTTTGAGAGGTTGATACACAACAAGAAGTGGCCTGAGCTGGAATTTGAAACCTATACTTGTCTGATATTTAAGTGGTTTCCTTGATTAAGCCTCACTAATAATAAGTCTTATGAAAAGTAATATGTAAACTTTTAAAATCCAAATCACAATTAAAGAAATGCAAATAAATAAAAAAGTGACACAGATTACATTAACTAAAATTATAAATCATAAGATATAAATGCAGGTGAGACAATCGGGAACACAACTGATAAACTCATGTATTTCTGGTGGTACTATAGACATGTACAGCCCATTAAACCCCCAATCGGACCTATACCCATATTAAGAATCCCCAGATATATTCATACCCTTGGATTTAGTAATCTCACAAATTATCCCAAGAGAATAATGAAAAATTAGAAAATGGCATACATTAGAACATTAGGAAAATGTTCTTTACAGCCTAATTCATTATAGTGGATAACAGAAACAATCCAATAGGGGAGGATCTAAGAAAATGTTTCTAAATGTTCTATATTAACTCCACAGTATATTAAGTAGCCAATAAAGTAATAAACAAGTTATAATACAGAGAATGATAAAGAAAGCTGTTTATAAAATTGTATGTTCTGATTATAAGTAGGAACAAAGTATACATGTGAGTAAATACTAGCTGGTGACCACAAAAGAGATAATAGGGGTGCTAGGGTAGAGTAGTTATGAACACATTTAAGAACCTTAATCCCCTTCTCACCATATAATTTAAAATTGTACTCATTTAAAGTACCCACTGAATTAAAATACAGACCTACAAATACAATATAGTCAGAGTTTGTGTTCACATGGTTAAATGGTTTCCAGCATCTACAATATTATTTTGTCACATCATTAACCATTTGACAGTGGAGGAAGGGGGAAGGAGAGATACTTTGTATGATGTGAGGATAAAATACATCTATTTTAATATAATGCCGAAAATCAAGTATTTTTATATTATGATAGTCCATGGAAAATAAGATTACAATAGGAAGATTTGTTGACATAATTGCCAGTGTATATGATTTTAAATGGCTCTATGACCAACAGTCTTTTCCACTATGTATTACAGTTTTCATCTCTTCACATTCCCTCCATCCCATTTTCTAAAGGGAGAAAAAGCTCAAGAAAATAGCTCAGCTGCAGAATTCTCCCACTCCTCTGTTTTCTGTTCTAAGACATCACTCAGGTCT